CCGGCGGCGTTTCCGGCGGGGCTCTGGCGTATTTTCCGGCGACGCGTTTTTCCTTGCGGGCAAGGTGGGCGACGGTGAGCTGCGCTCCGACGGTGGCTTGGCGAGGGGAGGAGGTGGCTCGGCGAGGGGCAGTGGCGGGTGTTGGGCGATGCGTGGTAGCGGGCGGCGGCTGGGCGTTCGCCGGGCGAAGGTGGCGGGGTGCTAGTGTGGCGGCGTGGGACCGGCGGGAAGTGGTTGGCCGGCGGCGGCGTTAGGTTGGTGGCGGCGTCGAGTGGTTGGGGGGTTTCTCCGGTGGGGTGCGGCGAGGGGCGTGAGGGAGAGTAGGGAAGGGAGTGGAGAAGAAGAAGGAGAAAGGGAAGAAGAAGAAGGGCTTTTGATTTGGGGATTTTGTGGGTTTTAGGGATTTATAGGGGCTTTAACAAGGGAGTGTTCCCTTGAGGTTTCAAGAAACACTAATGGGCTAGTGGTTAGAGTCTTGGTCACTTAAGTGGAAGGTCATGAGTTTAATTCTCATTGGCAACATTAGGCTCTATGATGATGGGGCCCTTGTCTTTTTCCTTCTTTTGTCTTTTAGTGGTGAGACTTGGCTAGTTTGTATAGTTCTAGTTCTACCCCCCCCCCCCCCCCCCCCCCCGTAAATAAGACCGAATTTTGAACCGATCTTTTATTTATAATATCTCCGAAGTAATTAAGCTAAATAAGTAGTTCTACCACGAAGGTGATTACAAGAATTTGCCAACCTAACCTAGACAGAATTCGTCTTCTTGGTTTTCTCCCACGGGGTTTGCGTGGTCCTCGTCTTCTGGGCTTAGGTTTCCTTCCTCGAGATTGCTCTCGTTCCCGAGGTTGGCTTGAGTGCGGCTCATGACGAATATTTTTCCGGGAGCGTCGTAGTTTCCTCGATGTGCGGTGCCCCCATGTTGTCCCATGGTGGTAGTGCGTGGTCTTTGGGGTTGGGTGCAAAGGAAGGCCTTGTGTCCTTCCTCTCCGCAGTTGAAGCATCGCAAGGGATTGCCCATGCAATCCTTGCCTCTATAGTTCTTGTTGCATTTCGGGCAAGGAAAGCTTCTGGCGCTAGCGTCGTTGTTCCCCAGAGGTGGCCTTTGGTTGGTCAGGTTACTTGGTCTTGTGTTGGCGTCGTTTCTTTTTCTTTTTACTGGTGGTGCCCTCCTCCGGAGTTCCTCTTTCGTATTTGCTCCTGAACCCCGCGTTGGAGTAGTTGGATTCGGTAGAGATTAGCGGCACTGGAGTAGGCCTCGTTGAGAGTCCGAGGTCTGCTTACCACTAGGGCTTTTCGGGCTTCAAAGTTGAGGACCGATACGAATCTCTCTATTTTGGTTACCTCGGTGGGGACTAGTTCTGGTGCGAAGCGTGCTAGTTCAAGGAATCGTTTGTGGTATTCCATGACGGTAGCTGTCCCTTGTTTCAGATGGAGAAACTCTTCGTACATGGATGCTCTTACGTGTGTTGGATAGAATCGCTCTCGTAGTCGCGTTTTGAGTTGTTCCCAGTTGAACCCTGGTTCTTGTTGGTGAGTGGGACCCTCGTGGATCCACCAAAGATCAGCCTCATGTCCGAAGTAGAATGAGGCTATCTCTACGCGGCGTTCTTCTGGGCATTCTACCAACCCGAGAATTTTGTCGAGGGTTCGGATCCATTCCTCCAGGATTACGGGATCTTCTTCTCCTGAGAACGTGGGTGGTCGATGGTTAGAGACTTGTCGGGCGAAGTCTGTGTTTGCGTTGGATGGAGGTGGTGGGGGTCTGTTGTCGCAGAGAGCCACGTCGCTTAGTGCTTGGGCGACTTGTGTTAGTTGTTGTAGCGTTTGGGTTAGGGCGTCGTGTGCGGCGGGTTCTGGAGTCTTTGATTGTCTTCTGTTGGGTGCCATGCTGTCGTCTTCCTGGGTCAATGTTTATAAGAATGTTAAATTGGGGCTTGGCGTCCTTCTTTGACGTGGTAAGCGGGGGAAAGTTTTCTGTAGGTAAGGGAGGAGAGGTTATGTATAGGTTTCACAATCTCACCGCGCGTCCTAGGATTCTTGGATCCTATGTTCCTAAATATCTAGAGTTCAAGCTAAATGTCTTAAAGTCCGGTCTTAAGAGTCTTACCCTAGGGTCAACTTAGGCTCTGATACCAACTGTAACACCCCAGATTTTCAAGATATTTAAAACTTATAAAGTAAAGGTGAAATCTCATTAAATCCCAAAGCATCATACAAGAGTACGGGGTGCTATGCCACACCTAAGCTAGAGAACTCAAGTGCACAGGCTAACTAACTAGTATCCTCAATAATGTAAACGCATAAACATGGCACGCAGGCCGAAAGGGAAACTATCTACTTCTACGCTCCAAGTTCTAGCGCGCTCCAGTGACTTACTCTTCTGTGCCAGAAAGCCAAATATATATGTTCAGCGAGAGATGTTGGTAACCCACTCCAACGCGTTGAAATATAATACATATATATATATATATATATATATATATATATATATATACATAGATATACGAAAAGTCATTTTGAAGCATGAAGGTATATCCTAAGAGACTCTAGCTTTCAAATCAGGGGACCGACTCGACAAATAGGGGTACACGCAATCAACAGTCATAATCAAGCATGTACAATTCTCACATAGGGCACAGTTATAGATAAGCACAAACAATAATCACAATTAAGCATTACTAGCAAGAGCCCTATGGTCAAGTTTCCATAACAGTCATATCATCAATCCTTCGCATCTCATCATATAGCACACTTTGTTGGCGCCACAGGACCAATCGCATGCCCATACATGAGGGTCAGCGCATGTAGCTCTGACACGGCCCCGCAGCACCCTGCCCCGTCTCACAATACGGAGGGGTCGATCGCAACCGACCGATGAGCCGCAGCTCTATATAATATTTATATACCTGACCGGTCTTTACCAGCCTGGTTAACAGTTGGGATGGTTCTCAACCCATTCAACTGCCCGTATAGTGGACCTTAGTCCTATATAATATTTATATACCTGACCGGTCTCTACCAGCCTGGTTAACAGTTGGGATGGTTCTCAACCCATTCAACTGCCCGTATAGTGGACCTTAGTCCTATATAATATTTATATACCTGACCGGTCTCTACCAGCCTGGTTAACAGCCGGTTTGGTTCTCAGCCCACCCGACTGCCCGTATAGCCCGATTGATCTCAACCAAATCGGGGTAACATGCACACATAACACATAGCAAGCACATGCAACCCACATTAGCACATTGGGAAGGGGGAGAAAACGTATAACAAAACCTATGCGTGATCCTTCACATTTTAAGAATAGTCCTAAGGGGTTCATACTTCTTTCACCTAGGTCAACGGGATACCAATTCAACTAGCATGCAATATATACGACTCATACGACCTACGAACGGTACCCGAAAATCAAACTAGACATAGGCACGATAGACGGAGTTCGTTAGGACACCACGGGGGTCGGGGGAACATCAAACGGGGAAGCCGGGGTCCCGAAGTGTGGGAATTTCCAGCGGGTAGCCGGTGGGTGGGGGTTCACCCGCCGGCTGCCCGCTGCCGGAGCTTCCCTTTTTGGCCGCGGGTAGGTGGCGGGTCCCCTACCCCCCACTGACTCTTTTCACCAAAAACGCCCCGGGAACTTTTGTGGAACCCGAAACCATGCTTAGACACTTTCAAACGCAATTGATAACACACGTAGACAATTAACAGATCAAAATCAAGAAACAAACGGCACATAACCTATCATGCTTTTCTAAACATAATAAACACCCAATCATGCGAAATCCCACCCAATATACCAAGAATAATACCATACGAATTCCACGATATAACCTAGGGTTCTAATTATTTTTAAATCAACAAGAACACAATTCATCTTCCAAAATCAAGATTCGGTAGGAATATCATATAAGTATCAAGAACCTCATATAATCATTAAGAACATCAAGAACACCATGTAATTGTCAAGAACGTCATATAATCATCAAGAACACCATAATTATCAAGAACCTTTCATCATCAAGATCACCCATGGAAATCATCCCACCAATCATCAATAATAATATCACAAATCATCAATACACAATATTATGGGGAAATCCTAAGAGGGGAATCATAACTAAGAAAATAGGTTTTGTTGAGACATGGGTTACCTCTTAGCCTTAATTAATTCCTTGGCTATGAAGAGTCTTTCTTTAAGCTTTCTTGCTTTCTTGATTTCTTCTAAGGGAATTCTTGGAGCTCTTTGGGTGGTGAGACGTTATTGTGGTGGGGGGGGGGGGGGGGGGGGTTCTAGGTGCCTCTTAAGTCCCCTATTTATATAATTAGGAGTCCTAGTTAGGAACTAATATTACAGGCTTGCTAATTCTATTCCTTTTGGGACTAAGGATTGGGTTTGGGGATAAGGGCCCGTGGATTATGGTGGGCCTTTCCTAATTAATTATTGTGATTTAATTCTTTCTTTTGGGTAATTGACTAAACGATTTAATTGATTTTAGGGATCGTAACACGGGGTGTTACATTCACGTCCCCTCGAAGGCCGCCGACTTCTTGTAATCCTCCACCGAAGTCGCAGCAATAGTCGCGCCCTTGTCCCGCTCCTCCTCCCACTGACGAGTAACCCTCAGCAGCTCGGAGGTGTGCTCCTCCACCGACTTGGCATGCTTAGCTTGCTCTTCCAGACGAGCCTCATCTGTTTGGCGCAGTCGGGTGGATAGAGATTGCAGTCCCGTCTTGTATCCCCTTAGTCGCCTGCTCATCTCCATCTGGAAGGTGAGGTTCTACAAGAACAGAGGGGGTCAGATAAAGAAGAAGAAAAAGACAAAAAAGACGACGAGTCAGAAACACTTACGCGGTACGATTGGCGAAGCGAGGCCTCGAGGATGTACTCGTCTGGCATTGCGCCAGTCATCTCCACGTCCTTAGGCAGAAGAATGTGGTCGGCCCAGGAATGGACGGAAGAGCCGCCCTGCCAGATTTGGGCGTCCTCATCCAGCTCGATTCACAACCGGATCCTCTTTGGAGCCGGCGCATCCGATTGCTCGACTGGCCGCTTAGAGCTTGGGCTCTCAGACGGAGGAGAAGGCGGCACTCGGGAAGGCGAGACAACAGGTGACGGCGTCAGGTCCACCACGGTACATGGTGGTGGAGGAGTCGACCTCGAGGCTGGAGAAGGGAAAGATGAAGAGGCAGCGGCGGCACCCGAGGCGCGTTGAGACAGTCGACGCCTCATCTTCTTAGCTCTGTTAGCCATCTCTGGAGTGGGAGTCTCAGCTTCGTCGGAGCTGGTAGAGTCGGAGTCGTAAGGACCAGTAAAGAAAGAGATTAGTGTTAGCAGTCGGACAAAGAAAGAAAGAGAAGGGAAGGACATGGGAGAACTACCTAAAGTGGCCGCGCCGTCTGGCAGCAGGCCTCGTTTTGCCATGGCTCGGACCCGAGACCAGTACTTAACAGAGTACGGCCCCAAGCTCTTCAAGAACTCGTCACCCTGGATCGCATCATGGGTGAAGACGGCGCGCCGAGAGCAGGGCTTGAACAGAGCAGCCGGACTCAGAGGAGCCACCGCCCCCGAAGAAGAGGGAGTCGGTTGGGAAGAAGACGCCGGTGAGAGACCAGGCGGAATCTCCATACGGCGAGGACTGGAAGTGGAAGAAGATGACGAAGAAGTCGACACGGGGTTTCCCGCCGAGCGACGGGAAGAAGAAGAATCAGAGGAGGAAGACATTACCAACCTGAGAGTGCTAGACGGAGAATGCAGAAGCTTGCGTTGAGTTCTTTTTAGAGAAATTCGGAGAAAGTGAAAGAAGAGGGAAGAAGATGAGTATTTAAAGGGGGTAAGAATCCCAAGGGGCGGCCACGTGTCACCCTCTCATTGAAGAAGAAAAATGTGACAAGAGGTGAAGAGACACTGCATTCAATGCCTGGGAAACCGTGGTGACGGTTCAGTCCTAGGGCTAGCCTGCAAACGGCGCGTCTACCCTAGGCTAGAACCGGGTTGCAGTGACCCGGCCTGCTAACCGGAAGCCCATCGTAGGCTTTGGGCCCACCGGATGCGGATCGGAAGCTTCCAGAAGGACCCAGCAAAACCCGGCCCATTTTTGGCACAGGCAACGTTTGTGATAAGATCCGAGTCCCAGAGTCGGATAATCGGATTTGGCGACTCCCTAACGAGAAAGGTCCCGGTAGAAGAGAACAAGGAGTTGACCAATGAATATACGAAGATAAGGGAAAAAACATTACGTGCAGACAAAAGGACAAACAGTTTATTCGAAAAACAGTAGAGGCCTAAAACTCGGCCAAATACAGAGTACAAGGGGGCCTAAGACTCGGCCAAATATGGAGCACAAAGGAAAAGAGGAATCATGGCTTGGCTTCCTCCTCCGACGGCTGAGCAGGGGGGGGGGACCCTCCAAGAAGTACTGAGGGCGGAAAGGTGGAGGACTCGGCTCAGGCTCCGGCACCTCGTCCAGATACACGGCCGGCTTCCCGTCATCAATCATCTACAAGGGCTTCTCCAAGGCACTCGGAGACATGGCTACGCCAAAAAGAGGAGGAACCTCCCACACCTCCTCCTCCTCCGGGCCCGGATCGTCCACCACTGGTTCCACCTTGTCATCAGCCGGCTCCACGGGGGACAGATCCAGCATATCTGGGGACACCACGATAGGATCGGAGCTTGAGTCGCCCACCAGATGTCCACCGTTGGCCAGCCTTTTCTGCCTTAGCTCTTCCAAGCGAGCATGCTCCTTGTTGCGAATGGAGAAGCGATGATCGCCGACTCTGTAGCTCATGTCAAAGGTCTATGAACAGAAGTGGTATGAATCACCAGCATAAGAGGCCTTTATATAGCCTCAGAAGGTCGAATATCTAGGCGGAAATCACGGAGCTGATAGTAAACTGCCGCGATCAGGCCAGATTAGACGGGAGACAGGGATCTGTGTCAGAGGGTAGTTCCATCAAATTCGCTCGAGAAGAGTGAGATTTGCACGTTGAACTGAAAAAGACAGATTCACCAAGGATACGGGGAATATTGCAGACATCAGACTGAGAAGGGCCTGACAACGTGGCCGACTCCCGGACCCATCGGCCGGGAGAGTAGGATGGGTGCCAAAAAAGAATTAAGAAGCAAAGTCCCCCAAGGTGGGAGCGTAATTTTTCTTAATAAAGGAGGGGAATACACGAAATAAAGAGCTTATTACATCACAAATAAATAAGAAATGCTCTTATGTAGTCCCCCCGGAAATACGGAAGCAAATCTTGACCGAGGCCGTCACTCGCTGGGAGAAGAAGAGCCGCTTCCAAAGAACGCCTCCCCCGATGGTCTAGTGGGAGACGGACAGAAGGTATCCCAGAAAGCTGGCATGATTGGTGGCACCACCGGCTCCTCGTCATCCGGATACATCTCCAGATATCAAGAGAAGTCGGCGTCATTCATCAGGCCCGTAGCCGGTCCATCCAGGTCATCAAGCGGAATGGAGAAGGTCATACGAAAGGTCGACTGTTCGGGGACGGCCACCTCCATGAAGGACCCATCCTGAGCAGTCACCCTGGCAGTACTCGGAGGCGGCGGATTGAGTGAAGTCGGAACATTCTCGGTACGAATCGGGGTCGGCGGCTGTTGAATAGAGGAAGTAGCACCGGGGGGAGACCTCTAGGAAGACGGGCGAGGAGCCTTCTTCTTATTCTCCCTCTCGTGTCGAGTCCGCTTGGAAGGTAGAGGGCGTCGAGGAGACCCAAAGTCGATTCGCTTTCCCTTCAAAGGCGAGCGACCCATGGATGAACAAGTGAGAAGAGACGTAGATGACAAGAGGCTATTTATAGGAGCCATGCGGAGCGGGGAGAATCCAAACGGCTCCGCTGAATCCGGGAAGATAGCAGAGGATCCGGACATTAGGAGGCCTCTTTAAAGACGGGGATCCGATAATGGAAAGGATGGACGGTTACTACTTTCCCAAACCCGGATTAGTGGCCCGGGTATGAGAAAGTGAGGGACTAGTTGATGGGGTGAGGACCCCGGCCCAAGGAGAAGGGCCCAAGAGAGGAGCCCAGAAAGGAAGATATGGGCCAGTAGAGAAGAGAAGCCAAGTGAAAAGCTCGGGCCGAGTCCAGGAGTCAGCCTAGGCCCAAGCACGGATAGAGACTCGACCCTGAGCCGTTAAGGAACATTGAAGAGCCTCATTTAAGGAGACTCGGCCCCGAAAGGCGTTCCAGCGTAGCCTTCAAGTCGGTCCCAGAGCCGTTGGAGGCATTCAAAGCGGGACTCGGTCAGGCAGGCAGTTACGAGTCCATAGAATCGTTGGTCGGTCCAGTAACGGCGTCCAACGGCTTAATAATTGTAATTAGCCTTAATACCAGTAATTAATGACCTTCAAGACAGATGGAGAGAGCCTGCTATATAAAGGCCTCTCCACCCCTGTAATAAGGGCGGGTCCATGCCCAGAACTCCAGAAGATAAGACACACACACTTTCTAACTATCCGACTACTCATCTTTTACGATCACTTTGAGAAAGGTGAATCCACCAACCAAAGGTTATGTTGGACCTCCTTGGGCCCGAAAACCCAAAAACCAACAGAGATGTTAGAGAGGGAGAAACGAGAGAAACAGAGAGAAAGAGCTCTGCTGAAGGAGAAAAGCCGTAGAGATAGAGGGTTCTCGTTACGAAGATGGAAGGCTCTGCTGAATAGACAAATTTGCCCCTTAAATTAACGGCCAACAAACTGATATTGGACAGAAGGATCTTTGGTGGAACGGTTTAAAAAGTCAAGTGCCTTTTTCGTCCAAATTAAAAGTTGAGGACCAATTTTGAAAAATCGCAATAGTCAGAGGACCATTGCTGGAATTAACTCTTTAATAAAGCATGCACGTCATTTGATTAGAGAACATTCAAGTTCTCAAATTAGTCATTCAATACTCCAAATTCATCCAATGCTCTAATTAACCATCAAATACTCCAATTATCCATCTGGTACTTCGATTATCCATCCAACACTCCTTATTAATTCCATCTCGTAATCCCATGCATCTGATTGCCAAAATTCGGATTCAATCTTCTTCTTCTTCTTCTTCTTCTTCTTCTTCTTGTTTTTTTTTTTTTTTCTAACAACAACCTAAAGGAATTCATGAAATTGTTTATAAAATTAATAAAAATTCATTTTATTTTATTTTTTTAAGAAGGAAAAATAAAGCACCTTAAGAAAGAAAACAACACACCTAAAGAAGGAAAATAAAGCAACTTAAGAAGGAAAACAATACACCTTAAAAAGAAAACTCACGCTCCTAAAACTTTAGACTGACGCACCTTAAGAAAGAAAACCACGCACCTAAAACTTTAGGCCGACGCACCTTAAGTTTCAACAACTGACGCACCTTAACCACACAAACCACGAAAACCACGCACCTTAAAAAGGAAAACCACGCACCTAAAGCTTTAGACCGACACTTAAGTTTTCAACAACTGACGCACCTTAAGCACACAACACAAAAACCACTCACCCTAAGCACAAAAACTACACGCACCTTAAGAAGGAAAACCACGCACCTTAAAAAAGGAAAACCACGCACCTTAAATTTGACCTAGATGCAAAATTATCAAATTACCATCGTGTTTTTTTTAAAAAAAATTTTGTTAATCCTAGACGTTGATCTTGACAAGATCAATGGCTCTTATCTTACCCCACAACCACATCGAACACACACAACTGCACAGGAACCCATTTCTATATGTACAATGTGAGTTATACTCATCCCAGTATCCCACCATTAATTAGTCGACAGGTGGTATCGATCATTGGGAAGATAGTTGGAGATTTGCAATTGATGAGAAAAAGCTAATAAACGAATCCAACAAATGAGAACTTACCGACAGTAGCTATGGAACCCACCACGTCGTATACATACAAGCACAACCTACCTGATCCAAGGAAGATGAAGAAGCAGAAGCATATATACTACATATGCCATATGCCATATGGTGTACTTTCCCGACACTGATGGACTACTTCAATTCTTGGGGACACAAAATATCATCTCCATCTTCTGCGGCATAAGATTTCTCATTAGTCTTTTTAAGATTTCCTTGTCACATATTATTCATTTGTTTAGTATCCTGTTATTTAGTCTCAAACTGTTATGATCATGATCGTGGTTGTGATCGTGCTTTATATAAGATCAACCGTCTTTCAATTTGAGTTATTATAGGATAGTGATCTCATCATTTATTTCTATTAGGATGTGTTTAGAAATAAAGAAAATGACTTTTGCAAAATATTTTATCAAAAATGATTTATTTTTCAAAAACTTTTTCATTTCTAATGTTTGGTTACATTTCAAAAAACTGTCTTGATCGATGTGTTTGGTCTATTTTCTAAAAAAAATGAGCAGAAAAGTAAAAGGGTCAAATACCCTAAACTATATCTGATCAACTCCGAAGACAAAATCGGCAACTGTCGTCGATCACCTTCACCTTCTACTAGAGATGGAACACGACCAGTTGGTCACCATCCATTAGAGAAGGCGACCAACTACTCAAAAAAGGGGAAGTTGTTGTAGATAGGTTGAGGAAAATGGCTTACACAAAATGTTCGAAAGGCGAAGAGAAGAAGTCTGAAAAATGACTTTTCCTCAAAGAAAAAAAAAAAAGAGAATTTGTTTTCTCAAAAAATAAGATAATTTTTCTCTTTGATCAGAATTGATTTTCCATGACTTATTTTTTCATGCCTTGTC